ATTGACAAACCTGGCCGGCGAAGTCTCGTCACTTCAGAAGCCAGATGTACTAAACGTTCATCAGCGGATCATGATAACATTTCGAGTCTGCGTCTCCGCCGTGTATATCTGCCTCTCTGTGGCGGCGTTCGTCCCCGTAGTGTTTGGTCCATTCTCCGTTCGCGGTTTGTTTAACTGACGGAACAGCCACGAAAGGACATCATCAATGAGAGATAACGCCGATTATGATGTGGGGGTATAGCTCAGTGGTAGAGCATTCGACTGCAGATCGAGAGGTCCCCGGTTCAAATCCGGGTGCCCCCTCCAAGTTTTTGCTTTATTACTAACACTTTATTTCTTACATCAAATGCTTTCGTGCTAAAGAACACCATCCTTGCTGCTTGGTTATGTTTATTCACTGGGCTGCCATCAGAGTTTGATTTTTATCTCCCTAATATGTTTTCCGAAACGGATTACGGAAGTCTGTTGCCCACAACTTTGAGGGTTTGCGACTTTTCTCGCTACACATGTGATAAATTGTTTTCTCTTCATGTCCTGGAAAGATTTTGAGGCATAAAATTTGACTTTGTCGAAAGCACCTTTTGTTGTTACTCGACAGAATCTTTATAACTACGTGGAACATTTAGTTCCTACATATTCAATTAACCTAGCGCGGAAAAACCAATTTTTCCACGCGATGAAGCAACCACGACCTTTTCGTAGTGGTCACTGCACCGTATTGCAAGGGCGCTTCTGGGCTATAGAAACGACCGTAGCAACATCCAAGGGGCTGCTCTGGAAATCCTTCTTTAAAAATCCTGTGATATGTGTGGGTGTTTGTGGGGTGGACATTGCACTATGTAGATAGGGGTAAGTGGCGCCGATTATCAGGTGCGTGATGCGGGGATCGGATCCTAGATTCTATCACGCTAAGAATCGTATTCTTCCATCTCTTCCGGCCAATCAAGTGCAACCTTATTTGTATGGATGATAAAACAGACATAATTCATCACAAGCGATAAGTCGCATTTGCTGCATGGCAAGCGATTCTGAAGATAGTTGTATGCGTGGCGCATCCCATGGATGATCGATCAACGCTGGTTATTTCATATTTTAGTGACGCCTTCAAGATAAACCGCTATGCGCAATAATAATTACAAGTAGATATTACTGCTCACTCAGTAACACAGAGTGCTTGTGATTAGTGGGTATGTACAATACCGCTCACAGAATGTGAAAAAATGACGGTGATTGACCGTCGCACCTATCAAAGACCGTCGCACTACCATAACTCCGCTGAAAGCGAATGAAACGGAAAAATTTAAACTCCTATAGATACGTCTCCTCACAACGAGTTCCAGGATGTGTTATAGGTCGGGATCGGTTAAGTAGGTCACCAGCTTTACCTTTTAAGCTGGGGCAAAATCCAATTCTGACCTCAAGGTAGAACACCATTCGTTAGATCCCATGTTTATGTGCACAGTAGTCTACCGCTCGCACACTCCTCCTTTTTTGATGCATTTTTATCCATGTTTCACAGTCGTTCCCGATGCGAACGAGCCCTTCAATTTTACGACATTTCCAAATTTTGAAAGCGTATTTCATCAAAGTCTGGAGGAAATACGACGAAACGGCTACAAGATCTTGAACTAGGTATGTAACTGCGCAACAACTTTGTTGTTTATTGGAATGCAGCAAAGCGGTTCTTACATAATTTAGCTCTGAATATCGGTATACGTCAAATTCTTCGAGCACAATCACTTTTCTTTTCTTTCCGAAATTGCGCTTAAGCGAAATGTATGACCAACGAATCGAATGGTTATTCCAAGAATATGACCTATTGTGCCGTATAGTGGCAATAATGGCTTATGAACAAACGTTAAGGTAAACTAGATAAGCGACAATACATCACCCTTTGAAAAAATTTTACAGACAGAGAATACTAGTGTTGAAATTTTCATACAGTTGTACTCGGCGCGATGAGTGCTATCCGATGATATATAAGTTATTACCCAAAGACTACTTTGTTTTTACTCGTTTTTTTCCTTCGTGATCGCTAGCCAATGACCAATCGCTAGCTGACCTCGTAATTACCCTACGCTGCGAGGGTCAATGCCTCGCGGTGTTATCACTCCTCTTCGAGGCATGTTCGGCTTCCGAATACCGCTAAGCGTCGTTTTTCTGAAGCCCCTTCAGATTCCCGTAGTTGGAAGGAGTGAGAAGCGATCCACTAGCTTAGGCCGTGGAACGCCAGCGAATCCTCCTGTGGCACAGCAATGCAACGTTACTGGAATGGCGCTTTGGGTTTTTTCAAAATTATGCCGGATTGAGGCACGACTGGGAAGCCCATTTAACACCTCACTTGCATTCGTTCTTATTAGGATTGGTGTCGTATTATTTTTGATTTCCTTTTTTTCTAGTACCTCGATTTCTTGGGGTTCTCCATTGTATTCAGTTCCCTCAATTTATCTCAATTTTGTCAACTTGATATCCCCCCCTCGAGTCTCATGCTGAATCCATGTGGTCTTCTTACTACACTCACGGGTCGATGGTCGAATCCAGAATCAAATCATCTAGGCCGGCCATCTTCTCTAAACCCGCTGATTTGTACGCTATTCGTATCGAAAAATGAAACCTCTGAAAATCACCAATCAAAATCCAACCAAAATCAAAATCAAAAATCAAAATTTTAACCCCAATTCAAAGCATGGACCAAGACACTATGAAATGCTCCTAAAATTCTTCTGACATGAAATTGAAAAAGCGGCGCATTCGGAAAAGGAATGAATGATCTCGAATACTCCATTCTTTGTGTTTTATCATATACATATTTTCAAACTGTTCAAATGAAATGAATAGAGACTTGGATACAGTGACTGACCAATAAAGAACCCAAGGAATCAAGTTACGAGAAGCGAGAGGAAGAAAATGGTGCGACAACAACCTAATAGGAATGAAGGCAAACAAGTGAGGTGTTAAATGAGCTCGCAGCCGTTTCACGGTTCGGCGTGATTTCGGAAAGGAAAAGTGAACAGACTCCAGAAAACCAACGCTTAACGTATTCAATAGCTAGAGTGTGCCTCGAAGAGAAGTGATAACACCGCGAGGCATTGACCCTCGCAGCGTAGGGTAATTACCGAGTCAGCTAGCGATTGGTCATTGGCCTTTAGCCGCATCACGAAGGAATAAATCGCACGTAAAAACAAAGTAGTGTTTAGGTAATAACATATATATCATCGGATAGCACTCATCGCGCCGAGTACAACTGTATGAAAATTCAACACTAGTATTCTCTGTCCGTAAAATTTTTTTCAAAGGGTGAGGTATTGTCTCTTATCTAGTTTACCTTAACGTTTGTTCATAAGCCATTATTGCCATTATACGGCACAATAGGTCATATTCTTGGAATAACCATTCGATTCGTTGGTCATACATTTCGCTTAAGCGCAATTTCGGAAAGAAAAGAAAAGTGATTGTGCTCGAAGAATTTGACGTATACCGATATTCAGAGCTAAATTATGTAAGAACCGCTTTGCTGCATTCCAATAAACAACAAAGTTGTTGCGCAGTTACATACCTAGTTCAAGATCTTGTAGCCGTTTCGTCGTATTTCCTCCAGACTTTGATGAAATACGCTTTCAAAATTTGGAAATGTCGTAAAATTGAAGAGCTCGTTCGCATCGGGAACGACTGTGAAACATGGATAAAAATGCATCAAAAAAGGAGGAGTGTGCGAGCGGTAGACTACTGTGCACATAAACATGGGATCTAACGAATGGTGTTCTACCTTGAGGTCAGAATTGGATTTTGGCCCAGCTTAAAAGGTAAAGCTGGTGACCTACTTAACCGATCCCGACCCATAACACATCCTGGAACTCGTTGTGAGGAGACGTATCTATAGGAGTTTAAATTTTTCCGTTTCATTCGCTTTCAGCGGAGTTATGGTAGTGCGACGGTCTTTGATAGGTGCGACGGTCAATCACCGTCATTTTTTCACATTCTGTGAGCGGTATTGTATATTACGTATGCATACTTATATCGTTTAAATCGTATTGACTTCTCCAAAGCCAAATTTCGAAGTAGCATCACGAAAACCAAAACAGTCGAGAAAAGCGGTGAGAATTCATCGTGAGGAATAAACAGATGGAATTTCTACAAAATTGATTTTAAAGATGCATTTATTAAATCAAGGCAGAGGTAAAAGCACATCTGCCTAGCTCGTAGTTATTTTCGGATTTTGACTTAAATATGTACTAGGACGAGAGTGTCTTATTTCGGCGTTTCGGCCTTTGGCGTGGCGACCAAGCTCTGAAAAAAATGTGTAAAAAAGGTAAGCTCAAGGGAGTTACCACTTCCAGAAACGTACCCCTATAGGCTTGTTTTTTGAAGATGTTGCGGCTTGTTGCTTGGGCAGAAGTGGTGCTTCTTCATGAGCGTGTCTCTTGAAAAAATATGGTTAGAACAAGTATAAGTATAATAATTAAGCATGGTTTTGAAATGTAGCCATGCAAGGTCATTGGAAATCAATAATACAACATTACTGTACAGAACACAACTCTAAACTTTCAAATATCACCGGAAAGGTGAGATTTTTCGGGGAAACTTCATCTGGTAATCTGACAAACCTCAGATGTCCTCTTGACCACCCTCTTCTTGGTTTTTCTCACTTGTTTCTCGGGTGGCAGTTGCACCTCTGCTCGTGGCAATGCTTGAGGCTCCACTGCTTTCTCTAGTCCCGCTTCGATAGCGCGATCTTTCTCGTCGTAAATCTCACCGATCACCTAAACGTTTGGGTTTATTGGACCAACCCATCGAAATTTGAACTTTTGATATAGCTCACTTCTTCCAAGTTGTCCTCCAATGTGACTATACCTATCACATGATAACATTTGACATCGTGCATGTACTCAACAACAATGGCTAGCGGGAAGCCCCGTTTGAGTTCGAGCATCAGCTGAGCCACAGGTGTTTCAGCGCTCACAAAACGGAACTGGAAACAGTGTGATTTCCGATGAAAATATAAGCCACCTCTAAATTGGCTAGAAAATTAAGAAGAAGATTTTTTCCAGAAGGATCATTTTAGTAGAAAATTGGGATGAGCGGCATTTCTTAGGGTATAGGCATGAGTGGTTGCGCGGCCAGACTCGTACCATATTCCCCGGTCATGTGCTCGAACGGGCACAATTATTCGTATCTTCGCTCTTTTGGCAAAATTCGTTGCTTTCGGATAACATATTCACAAGTTTGGCAAAGTTTGTGGTCTTTCTCTTCTAGAGTTACGCGTCATCGCGCATAGATTAATATTGACACTATGCAAGAGCGATCATGTATTTGAGGCTCTATAAGGAAAGACTTAAAGGCAGTGGGTGCGATGGCTGAGAGGCGGTGCAGTTTTGATGACGTCACTGCGGGTCATAGCTGCAAAGGTGCTGAGGTGTGACTGGGGCCTCCAATCTCGAAGTTCTCCCACCAATGATATCCAGTGACGTCATCGACACCTTAACTGCCTCAAAATAGTTGTTGTAAATTCATCCATAATTACAGTCAACGGAAGGCAAATTGAAACTGTATTGGACATCGTATGCGCCACGTCTTGAGCACTTTTTGTAGAAGTGTAGAGGCATTTGAAAGATCGCTGGACTGTTTGTGTCCACAGCAGTGCACATGCTTTTTCATGTACCGCCACTCTTTCAGTGTAGGATATCCTTCTATTATATAAAGCGCTAACTTTGTGTGTCGGTTTGTATGTCTGTATGTGTGTGTGTGTGTATGTGTATGTATGTATGTATGTATGTATGTGTGTCCGTCCGCAAAATGAAGTGAGTGAGAAGGAAGCTCATGGGATAAACAAACCGCTAACAAATCGGGTAGCTTACAGGATTTGAGATATCAATGTTTTGTAGCAGGATAGTTGTGATAACACTCTTAGGGCTATATAAACACCTGCTTAGCACACTTCCGTTCATTCCACATGGTGCTGCAGTGGCAGCTGGAGGGCAGTGGAGAGAGGAAGGGAGGATGAGGAAGGGAAGCGAAAATCTACCGTCATATCATGATTGTGTCCCTTCTACTGTATGAAACACCATTGTGTTGCATACGCGTCACTTCCAGGTGTTGGTGTCACAGGAGGAAGGGACCATAGCGGAGGATAGAAAGCTTGCGCAGGAAAGGAAGGTCCCGGCGGTTGACGGGGGACTAATCTGGTTTATAATAAACTGTAAATGGGAACTTCTAACCCACCCCCACCGGAATTTGGAGCTTGAGAGCTGCACTCGGATCGACTAAGTTCATTTTTTTTCATGCAACGTATGCATATAATTCGATTCTAAGTGGAAGTCGATATGAATGGCGGCACTCCATGGCCCTTTTCTCGATGCGTTAGGTTTTGCATTCAATCGAGCACTCGCCGAAAACTCACCAAAGTACTTCGGTGCCATAGTTGCATTATGATGCCGACATGAAGATCTAGTGAATCGTCCGATTAGCCGAAGTCAAAATGCTTTCAACATCAAGATGCCAATTATCTGTAAAGAAAAACTGGTCACTTGGATTTGCATGGTTGACGAAAACCCTCTACACATTGTTTCGTGATAGAATATGCCGTGATGCAGGTTCAGCTGACACATTCATCAAGAGGACCAAAAGCCCACGCGATATCGGTTCTTAAGAGACAGCCGTCACGGTAACACTGAGTCTGCAACTGCGGCATATTCGGCTCCAGGAAACAGCTTTATCGTTTATCACTACTGCAGGAAATGTAGAACGAATATAATGGCAGCTTTTATAAAGAAAAGGTCCGCTTACACAGTTGCGATCACTGCCTTTGTAGACGGGAATTCGCGTATGTCGATTTTCGTTCATCGTATAACTTCGTATTCACTCAGTCATGTCGATATCAATAAACACGTAAAATTTCATACATTTGATCATTCACGTATGATTCACGTCATCCGTCAACCTCCATGTACGCCGTGCATCTGTGCTCATTTGCGGTTGTGGACAGGATTTTACGTGAACTGCTAGTATGAGGGAGCCTGAGATGGTATTCTGTGTGACATCCTGCCTTCGTAGGCAAAATGCAACTTCCTAGGAATTGAGCTAGAGAGACCGCGTGCTCACAAAGCGATTTGAAGGCATTTTTCCGGCTTATCCCAAGCGAGACTCTTTCCTGACAAAGCGTGTGTCCACAACGCAGTAAGAATGAAATTCGCGCCAGCTATCATCCTATCCCCGCAGCCCGCGCAAATTGGCAAGGTGGCGACTGTCAGGCGCAATCAGACCGCGCAGTTTGGTGCAAGGGAAGGGGCTTTTATAGTCAGGTCGATCCCCTCTAACGATCGCACAGTTCAAGATATGTATCGATCGTCTCATCGTCCTACGCCTTCGATCGGATCGGACGCTTGATACTTATCGAATTGTGTGCAATCATTAGCGGTCGCCACGATCGACGACCGGATGAAGGCGCTCAAACTGAATAAGGTGCACCCCTTCTTAATATTTTTTCTCCTTCTTTCCCTTCTCTAGCGTAATCCCTCGAAAAGGAAGGCCCCATTCTGCGTTTCCAGTCATGATTGTTGCGACTGGAATGGTTATCAGGCGACCAGTTAGTCTGGGCCCTACGATGTATTTGTACCATTTTCGCAATTTCTACCAGGCTTTGGCTAGGCAGGCATATCGAACCCGCGGCCCTCACGTCGTAGACCTAAGTTCCAATCCTGCGCACCCAGCTACCTCTGCTTCTCGTTGTTCATTGGTGCTTCTCCAAATTGACGGTTCACGTATATTTTGACAGGGGACAGTGCGATCGATGATAGTGATAGGCAGCATTAGAGCAAAACAGACCAAAAACTGAGAGCACACCTTCTCAATTGGTGTCATTCACGTCCCGAACGCATCGTACTTGCAGATTCATTGCGTTCTCCACCACATCGGCCATGTGCACCGTCTCGTATTTTGGCTCCTGTTGACGCATCAAATCGCCCAACATTCGACGATCTATCGACATACGCATCTCTGCAAAACACCAACCACTAATTCAGAAACTGGTGGCAGCAAGGGCGATCTGCAACCCTTCGAAAGAACTCTATACCATAAGGGACATAGCGTAGGTAGGTGGGCAGGTTGTAGATAAGCGGTTCTGCCCCTTTTAGGGGATCGCTCTTGATTGAGCTCCTTCCAAAAACTTTATCATTTATACTTTGACTTTATAGTGTTCGACTCGGCCCATACGA